AACAAAAGGAATGAGATAAATAAAATAAAAATGTCAATAATTCTGATGACTTGTTTTATTTATTAATAATTGTTACTCTATTTTCATGACATTTAATGCTTTAGAAGCACACTATCCCACATTACTTGCAGTTGACACTGGACTGAAATCGATTCAAAAATTGCTTCTCTCAACATTTGTTTTTTTTTTTTTTTTTGAAGTAAAGTCAGTAGGCCTTGGATGATATGTGTGTTACGAGTATTCCCCACATTTTTTATGTATTGACACCGAAGTCAAAAATGGGCTTATATTAAATTAAGTGCGTTGAAAGTTTTTTATTAATTGTGTATTAATTTATATAATACGAAGATTATGACAAACAAATAATATATAATAAAACACTTATTACAAAATTATAAATATAAAAAACTGATATTAGTTTTTAAGCGATCTGATTGTCTTCTATATCGTAGTATTAAAAATTAGGCCCAAATAATTGAAGTTTAAAACACTAGTTTTAATTAATTTAATAACATATTACAAGAATTACAAAAGACTTACGAAGAACAAAACATATAGATGAAACAATAGTGTTATAAATTATCCTCGTATGGTATACATTTTTTCCCAGATTTACCAATCTAAGATTAAAATTGCACTAAAAATGAATCTGGAATGTAAAAATTATTCCAGACTTTATTATTCCAATCGAAAACGCCATTAGTATTCTTAATATGACCGTCCATCACAAAGAAATCTTGAGACTGGCTTAGATCCCAGACCTGTTCTATTGTTATAAAATATTAACTTCTAATACTTCTATATACTTCTAAGTGTACATTACACGAAACAGTTTGACATAATAAACCTGCATCGAATTCTTTATTTTTATTAAGAATCTCTAAGATAAGAGCTTAATTTTCTTCGGAATATTTATAGAACAAAAAATTATTAATATCATTAATATCATATCATTGAAATTCAATGGAATATTTATAGAACAAGATAGACACAACAATAGGTAACTTCATTCCAAAGTCACTGATATCACTTATTTGTAGATATTTTAATCAAATACATACAATTTAAGATGAATAAAAAATAATACAAATTTCAAATCTGTAGTAAAAGAAATTAGAAAAAAGTGCTAGCTAACTGCACTATATTAAAAAGCAACATATTTTAAACATATTCACACTTTATGCTAATAATCAGTACATCTTTAATAAATACGCAAATTTACTGATAATGAGCGTTTCAAGAATTTCTAACACAAACTCTAGACCTAATACGGCCACAAACAAAGTAGGCAGCTAGATAGTAATTCAAATGAAACCCCCTAACATCATACACTTAAGTACTTACATTGCACATTGACTGTACTCATTTTAAAGGATGCTAACTAGTAGATATTTTTATGTTTCAATGAAATATAATGAAAACTAAAAGTGTCATCTAAATGTGCACTAAAAATACGGGATAATGAAAATTAAAAGAAAGTGCTAGCTAACTGCATTAAAAACAAAAATTATTGTTTAAAAATTCTGAAGATGTTTAATGTTAGGAAAAACATACAAATCTTTTATATAATCAGACACACCTTAATTTCGCAAAAATCTTAATTTCAACTTCGTTTCAGTGAAATTAAGTTTTAAGGTTAGAACGAAATTAAGGAAAATTGCTTTAATTTCGTTGAAACGAGGGTGAAATTAAGGGACATTTCAAATACAACTATGCGTAAAATAAATTTTCAGCAAAAGATAAGTTGAGATAACGAAAAAGTGACATTTTTTTTAATAAATGTCAGTGACAGTTGACTTTAATAAAACCGGGAGATTTTTAAATTTGAACATAGAGAAAAAACTGTAACTGTTATTAATTTAAAATAGAGTAAAAAATAATAATTCACGTACATGAATTCCATTAAAGCTAATAAAACTACTATATGCCATCCTTTATGGTAATAATAATCAATATTAAAAATTTCCCAGATAAAAATGGTGTTTATAGAATGTAATTTTTAACCTTCGATTTGTAAACAAAAAACATATGATTTCCTTAATTTGTGACAGTATGAACACTTTCGAAATTAACTTAATTTCATTTTTAAGAAATTAAGGAAATTTGGCTGTCTGAACATAGCATTAGTAGAGTCAAGGAGAAAATAAATTAACAAATGACATACTCACAAATAATTTTATATTTCATGCTATCCAACAACGAACATTTTTTGTATAGTGAATATATTTCAGCGATATTTTAACTAAACAATTAAAATAACATTCGCTCAATCTACTACCATAAGACTAACAAAATAATAATAAAAATAAATACGTATAAGAACTCAAGTTGGCTTATGCATTAGAATATGAGATGAGATGGGCGACATCATGGGTGATAAGGCTGTATTTAGGGTACACGTTGAAAATTGATGCATTTATGCGTGACAAGTAATTGTTAAGCATATGGGTATATCCTGAGCTCAATTGAGCATACAGAGTACTTGCTGCACGCGGATGTCGTTGTTTTCTCCGGGAGGCATTAGGCAGAGGTCTGTTGAGAACTATATTGTTATGTTGTTATGCAATCGTGAACTCAAAGAGGATATTGCATATGTGTTGAAGACTGTTAATTCACGTTTGCATTCGACGTCACCTAAAGCAGCAGATTTGGATGAAGAGACTCTGAGCCCGCTGCGTTGAGGGCTGTTAATTTACGTTTGCATTTGATGTCGCCTATAGCAACAGGTTTGGATGAAGAGACTAAAGTGATTCACATGACAACTGATATGAATTCCATGAATAGGGCAATAATTCAAACACAGTATGACGTTTTCAATTAACGACATAATTACTTTAGTAAATTAGCCAAGTTAAGCACTGACTGTATGCATAAATAGTTAAAGAAGTTTACATCACAATTGAAAGGGGAATCAATTTAATAGAGGAATTCGTATATTGTGTAATATTTTCAATTCAAGATGTAATTACTTTAGTTAGTTAGATTCAGCTATTGCTCAATTAGCTGAATCTACTCTAGTCACTTGTCTAGACCAAGGCAATTTACTTTACAGTTGATATGAATTTTATTTAGTATGACAATTCATATGTAGTACGATATTTTCAATTAAGTAAGCTTTAGTAAATAGGTTAAGTTGAGCACTAACTATTTGCATGACTAGACCAAAGGAATTTGCTTTACAATTGATATGATTTCTATACAGTTTTAGCTAAGCTGAACACTGACTGTTTGCATAACTAAACCATAGAAATTTATGATATATTTATAAATATTTAGTTTTAAACATAAATACATTATTATTTAATGTTTTTAAAATGTTTTAAAGAAATGCGATTAAGCAGCAAATTGTTTAAATTATGTCATTAATATTTTAAGTAAATACATATATTTTAAATTTTAAATAGGAAACAATTAATAAACACTAGTTGGCTTGCAGACCTGATAACAGAATTGAGAGCAGAAATCCTAATGGCACTAAGCTTTTTAAGACGATTAGGAGCGAGCACTTCACCTTTGGAAATAGAAGATTTACCAAAGCAAAATGCAGGGCGAATAACTGCACTAACGTGACTTCGACATGCATAACAAACCTCTTGAATGGTTTTATGTAGGATTTTTTTACGTTTGATTGGTCCACTTTAAAATAGATTCGTAAGAGCTGATGTACTAATTTCACTGTGATAATAAAATTTAAATTTAAACGTTAATTTGTTGTTGGTTGCCAGTTTTATGCATATTAAGGCAGCACGTTTGGAATATTTAATTAATTATTATATATTGCTGAGCCAACTAATAATGTAAATTTTTATGTTATCCAGAAAAACCCGAGTTCAAACACCTTTTTTTTAGTTAATAAAATTTTAAATTTTTTATTTTTGTGTTATTTTTTATCTTCTTGGCATATTTGAAAGTGGAATTTTTTATTTTTAATGAAATAGTTTGAGACTAAAAGTCTTCTTTTTTTTGGAGTTCATGGCATGTGAAATAAATTTAAGCAGTTGCGTTTTTAAACTTACAAGCATGGATGAATGCATAAATTATTTGTCTAGAAATAATTTATTAAGATATACATAAACATATATATTATTACTATATAAATATAGTTATATGTACATATGGTTATTAAATTTTATACATTTTAATAAAAAGAATTGAATTGAATGGAATAAGAAACCATTTTGGTTTATTCAGGAACACTTGAACACATACGTTCGAGTGCTCAGTTCATCCCACATGCAACAACAACAATGTGGGAAGGGAAATGTCAACGTCCAATTCACGAATATTAAATGAACTAAAAAAAATCTTCATTCAGCCTCTGAACAATTAATGAAAATAGTACAAATTTTATTTAAAAATTTTAAAAATTCAATTAATGCATTTTAACTTATATATCGTATATATATATATATATATATATGTTAAAAATATTTGTCAAAATATGAAACATATTGCTGCTAAAAACCGGGTATAAAATAATAGCATCGACTTCGCACCACCCGCAGCATCATCCTTTCACTCTCTTCCTGTTATCAAAAATATGCATACATGTATGTATGTACATATGTGGAGTTGCAGGAAAGAAAATTACTAATATATGCAATTGACTTCCATATAACATTTAAAATTCGTTCGCACTTTATTTGAATGGTACACTTAATTTATAAAGAAATTATTAATAAAATTCAGAATTGTTAATTAGATTTAGTTAAAAACTTGTTCATAAAAGAAAAACGTGTTTTCTAGCACCACCACGTCCACCGCATTTGTAGTCGTAGCTTTTTTTATAATTCTTTTCTACTTTGCACAATGCGGCGGCCTCATTTCTCTTCGTTCATACATTAAATTGTAAATTTATGCACTTTTTTATATATGAATACAGTTTATACATATTTGTTTAAAAACTATTATTTATTTAAAAACTAATTTTAAAACAATTTTAAATACTTTTAAATTTAATATATTTTAAATATATAAATTCACACGGATATGCGACTAACCCGACTTCCAAGTGTTAAATGATAAATACTCTCTTCTCTTAAGCGATTCATAGCCAACGTAAGCATATTAAGTTAGTTGCGTTTGCATAAATTTCGAAAAAGCGCCATCTAACAACAAAAATTTAATTTGCAGAAAATATTTGTCTAGAGTATAGTCACCTTGTTTAATCACAATAATTTTTTTTTAAATTTTGCATTTAAAAAAATAAATATTACAAATTGTCATATAATAAAAGTATTAAATTATGGCATTAATTAATTAAATCACAATAATTTTTTTATTTTGCATTTAAATAATTAATTATTTAAATATTAAATATTAAATATTGTTATTAAATCAATATATTAAATTATAGCATTAATTAATTAAATTAATTGTTATTACGACAAATTTACAATAAATTATTTTATTATTACCGTGCTTAGATCTTTTATTTAACACATAAAATTAAAACAAATAATTAATAAACATTACAATTATTTGCGTTAAATTTTTAATTTTATTTTAATTTTTATACAAAATATTCAAATTACAGATAATTGGTAAAATAAACTAAAATATTTAACACGAATTAACAAGAGTAAGTTTTTATAAAAATTAAATAAACAAAATAATCAAAAACTTATTGCAAATTGATCGTAATAACAATTAATTAATGTTATAATTTGAAATTTTAATTTTATAAGCTCGGTTATTATCAAAACACCTATTAATTAATTAAAACTTAATAAATATATACAAGAAGAAGTGTGGTTTTTGCACAATTAATAATTACTTTTTTATTACTTAATTACTTATATTGTGAAGTACAAATAAATTTATTAACAAATATAAATAAAGTATAATAGTTACATAGCACTCATCTTCTATCTCTTCCTAATGAAATCAATAACTATGTGGTTACATATGTCTATTTATTCTTAATCTATTATGTATTGTAAACGCACTAACAAAGGTAATACGGACATCGTCATGGATAGGTAACATTTCGCAAACGATTGGATTGAAAGGTTAGGCCTGGAATCTACCAATTTTGGCTACCTATTGCATATGGTTCAAAAAGTGCTTTGAAGTTAGGGCAATTATTTACTCATGCGATTTCAGCATATCAAAACTACTTATGGTCACTGATCAAGTAAAACTATTATATATCAAAGAAACTTCAAATATTAGGAAAGGTAACCCTACATTTAATATAAATGTATTCATATTTTCAATCAAACAGCTATGAATACTTTATCTTTTATTATACAAGTGATTAACCTTAAAGTTAGCTCCTCAGTGCAGAGCAAACTCTGGGTAACTTACTAATATATAAGGGTTTCCAAATAAACTGACAGATGAGTTAAGTAGAAAAAACGTTAATCTGGAACTGGACCTTACAATTCTGATTACTAATTAAATCAAATGAGATATATTATATTTCTTAAAAAGTTATTTACTAAATGCAGGAACACCATAGACTATACGTAAAATCCTTAGTCTTAAGTTCACGCAAGATCCAGTATTACCATCAATATAAGACATTGTAAAGTTTATTGGGTATCATATATTACCTCTAATATTGTATATATAGTTCAACTCTGTGAAAATAGATATTAGTTAAATAATAGATTTGCGTAACAGCATATAATAATTTTAACGGCGTCTTTTTTAGTGTTTCGTCACGTAAGCCTTCAATCAACTACTATATAAGCACATTTCTTATTAATATCTTTACACATCGTTTAAACTATTAACGAACGTTTAAACTATTCATTAAGATTATGAGAAGCAGCTATTAATTGAATTATTACAATAATATAGCTTATAGTTTGTTACCTACTATTAATAGTAGCTTATTAGTAGTTATTTTCTTAGAGGTCTACTATATAATTAATATACGAAACATGTCATTACAAACTATCTTAAAGATATAATTTGTGCTTCATTATAATTAGCTTTATTGTTGTGATATACTATATGTGTTCTGGTATTAGTTTCAATGTAGTTTAAGAATGTAGATTAACCATACTAAGACCTTACTTAAGCATACTAAGTGACGTAGTCAGTTACATGACATTCTCCTCAAAAGTTCTGGGCTTTATAAAATCATAAACGAACTCTCAAATCATAAATTTAAACTCTCTAGTTTTGAGCGGTTCCGTTGAAGCGCGTAATACCTAAGCATTATTTTACCATTTTACCATTTTGTATTTAGTTTAAGCTTTGTCTTTGTATAATTTGAATCGTTTAGCTACCACTGAAAACTTACTACAGAAATAAAGATCCTCTAATAGGTACACTTCGAATTGAATTTTTCTCAGTCTTGAGACTCATTTTTCGCTTGGAATATATGTCGACAAAAAAAATAAAATATAGAATATAGTATATTTCCAACGGCGACTTACGTAAAGATTCAACAATGGACGAAATTAGGGAAGAAGTATTAAGTAAATACAGTGCAAAACATACTATGGGAACATGTTCGCATACAAATAATGAAGTAGACCAACTACTTCTATACACTTCCTTTACTCAAAGAAACAACATTCTAAAAGGAATTAAAACGTCCAATGCCTTCCGAGTTAATAAATTATTCTATAAACCCATTAAAACGGTGAGATTTTTTTAACTTGACACGTGTTAGCTTCAATTAAAATCCTTTACATTTATAATCCAATATGATTTCCAAACCTCATCCTCATGCTTCATACTCCCTTTACCAAAACCATCCGAATTTATGTGTTCATGATTAGAATTTCTTTCTTTTGCCATATAAATCACTACGGGCTACTACTGCGATAACATGTCCTATAAATGTGTTTATGTTCAGAACACCACTATATTATCTTGACTAAATTTCTAATATTATTATAACTATTATACGATGTCAATATGTATGATTGTTGTTTTAATAATTAGTTTTCCTTGTAAGTTAAATGAGTTACCAGGAATGATGGGAACGCATTAAGAGCATTCAAGAGAAAAATTCTTTAGAAGGTATATGGTCCCTTATGCTTTAGCGAATACTATTGATTTGGAGAGGACGATGAGCTATATGACCTATACCGAGACATTGATATAGTTTAGCTTTAAAAATTTAACATCTCCGCTGGCTAGTTCATGTCGTGCGAATGGAAGAAAAATGATCCAACTAGAAAGGTGTTTGATTCAGTACTTGCACGTAGAAAGCGCGGTAGAAGATGTCCGTATCTTTGAGTGGAAGGACCTGGTGATCAACGATATGTTGGCGCTCACTATTACCTATTAGCGTCAGCAAACCACTGAACTAGCTGGCTGGAGAGAGCTACTGGATGCGTACAAGTAAGTAAAAATTAAGTAAACAGGTTGACAACATTTTTTTACTGGCTGAAAATGTCATACCTTGGAATGTTACCAAAAATTTTTTTTTTAATTCAAAAAAAAAAAAAAAGTAGACGTGAAAATTGTCCAACAGCCGGTACTGCGACCAAAAGAGTCCTATTGTACCAGTTTCACTATTGATTAAACAAAGACCCTTAAAGCTTTTTGAATAAAGTCTAGAACTAAATCTAGAGAAGAGTTCTTAATCTGCTCTGGTGACAGAAATTCTTTATGAAACAGGTTTCTTCTGTACGTTATTAAAGCTGGACAGTCCCAAAGAATATGCATGGTCGTTTCCTCATCTTCGAGGCATAATCTGCATTCAGAGTTAGCAGATAATTGTAGTTTATGAAGGTGATATTTCAGACCATAATGACCTGTAATGAAACCCGTTATCATCCTTAAATTACATTTTGAGAATTTAAGAATGTTTTTGTAGGAGTAAGGTGTTATCAGTGCTTTGCTTTGTCTGAGTCCTGGAAAGTTTACCCAGTACTCTAGCCGCATATGATTTTCCATTTCCTTGATAATCTGTTTTGTACTAGCCCAGTTTATTCCACAAAAGGGTTGAGGGCCTATAAAAGCAGTTTTTGATGCAGTTCTGGCAAGCTCATCAGCTTTTTCATTTCCCAAAACTCCTCTGTGGCCCGGAACCCAGTAAAGGTTTATCTTATTCCGAGCTGCAAGTGATTGCAGAAGATCGTAACACTCAAGGACCTGTTTTGATTTGAAAGTCCAAGAAGAAAGAGCTTTAGGAGCAGCCTGGCTGTCAGAGTAAATAACAATTTTCGAGCCAGAAGGTTTTTTGATTAAATTGGATCTTACGCATAAGTTGATTGCGTGGATTTCAGCTTGGAAGACACTCGGCCATGTGCCCGTTGCTTCCGAAATGCTGGTGTTGGGTCCAAATACACCAGCGCCAGTGCCTTCATCCATCTTTGATTCTGAAACAAAACATGGTGACATTTTACAATTTTTTAATAAACACTATTTAAGTCATGATAACTTACAATTAAGGTAGTTTTCCCTGTGGAGAACTACTCTTTTCTTTTTAAATTAAGATTTTTATTATAATATCTATCTGAAGCGGCGTTTTCCTTTTCAGTCTCGTAAAAATTTTTTTTTGAGAGGGACATTAAATTCGAAGCAAGGATGTTGAGATGAATTTGTATTCGTTCATGGTATTTTCTATTCTAGGTATTTCTACCAAAATTGACTTATTTTCCATTACTATACATATCACTTATAGTTCATTTGGAATATCTGTCGAAGCAACTGGTGGTAAATCATAAGAAGCTATAGTTACTGTTTACCTCTGCTAAGGAAGGAAAAAACAAAAGTGAGAATATGATGTAGATGATATATATACATATATAATAATATGATATGATATGATATAATCTTATATTACTGTCATTTAATATAAATTAAATATATAACATTTATTGATTTAATTATAACTAATTAAAAAAAAATAAAATAAATTCACAGCTCTATCCTTTCCATTGACATTTCCTCTTTTTGTAAAAGGTATCACGCCTTGAGCTTGAAGTCAAAAGAGTGTGAGCAACTAAACGAAGAGACGAATATGATTTGCAACATTTTACTATATTACAAGTAAACGTAACATTTTACTATATTACAAGTAAACTTATAGTATCACTTCCAATAATGAATAAAAAAATTAAATATATGTTAATGGTGACAAATTATAAAGCACATTTTATTAATTGGTTATTAATTAATGCATTGATTATTAACTGTTAATTACTCAACCGATTAATTTTCGCATGCAAAGTTAAACACTTAACAGCTTAGAACTATTTTAAGTTTAGCATTCTAATATTTAAGAAATCATTCTTAGAAGTTGTTCGGAACCTATAATGTTCAGTCGTAAAATAAATGTACGGAAAATATTTTTTTTTCAATTTTTTTTGTTATATGCATTACGGAATGTTGTTGCTGAATCAATAAGTGCGTTATTTATTTTATTAAATAGTTTTAAAGTGAACTTTAAAATTGTTTTTTATTATTAATTTATTAATATATATATACCTATATATATTTTAGAACAAGATATGTATTAAAACTTTTATGAACGGTGTAGTGAAAAGTAATACTTAAAAAAATATTATTAAATGTTGTGCAGTTTAGTGATTTATAAAAGTCCTAAGTTAAGGATATTGTCTTTATTCAAGCAGATGAAGTGAAAACTTTAAGAATCCGTATCACTATCATCCGTGACTATACAGTCCATGTAGGACTGTATGTTTAACAACATCCTTCGATTCCTCTCTATTTTTTGCGTTTGTTTTCCAATTTTTTATGTTCATGACTTCAACTAATGTATTTTAACTTATATATCGTATATATATATATATATATATATCTTAAAAATATCACTATCATCCGTGACTATACCGTCCATGTAGGACTGTATGTTTAACAACATCCTTCAATTCCTCTCTATTTTTTGCGTTTGTTTTCCAATTTCTTATGTTCATGACTTCTAAATCCTGCTGCACACTGTCTCTCCATCGTTTTCTTGATCGCCTTCCTCTTCTGCTGGTTCCTACTTCGTTCTCATAAATCTTAAGCGATAATATCATATTCGGCATTACTTTAAAAATCGTATTCCAAAATAAACAGCCCTTGTTTAATCCTATTTATCTGACATTTTAACTCATAACAATCTCACTATTTTCAATAGTCTAATCTTCTCTCTCTTCCACTCCCACTTCCCTATTAAACTTATAGAAACTTTTTTTCTAAGTATGAAACATTTTAAAATCCTGAAATATTCATAAATCGTTTTAAAGCCTTGGTTTTAATGGATCAAGGTGTCACACGAAGGCTTCTGATAATGATTCTATTCCCACTAATATGTACGTATGTGTTCTTACAAAATGAAACCAGTTTTTAACTTTAACTTATAAAAATGACCAGTTCATGCTTCAAGTTTTTCTTACTTTGTATTTATATATTTTAGATAGCAATTATCAATTACTATCTAATCAATTACTCAATACTTGTTATAATGATTTAAATAATATTAAATTACACCATCTTAATCTATATGATACAGTATTACATTAACATCAGTTAAATATATATATGCATTATATTTATATACAAATTAAATTTAATTAATTTGCTAACCTTAGTTGTGTTTTACAGGTTTTAAAGTATAAATATGATGTAAAAAACCATACTGATGCTATCTCAGTATGGTAAGTTAACTTCTATGTTAACTTACAAATTTAATGTTAACTTTTCTGTTAACTCATAAGCTTAACATTGTCTCTTATGTTAACAGTTCGCGTTTTAGAATCGGTTGTCTTTTAAGGAATAATACATATATAAAACAATTCGTTGGAGCAAAAATAATAAATGCTAAATATATATAATAAATAAATAATAATTAAGCATTTATTATTTTTAGTTGGAGTTACGGCTTTATATTAAAAAATATATAATATACAAAATTTTACATTATTTTTACTTCTTATCATTTCTCTTGGTATTCTGAACATTATAAAGGAAGTATATTTATTTATATATATGTTTTGTTTCTATATTTGTAAATAATAAATATTATAAAGTAATCTTTTATTGATTAGGATTTAAAAGGAGTATTTGGCACCATTCATAGTTCTTACTGTAGAATGGTTAGTTTCTATATTTGAGCCGACTCTTTAAACTATACCACAGTCACCTTAAAAACTTGTTCAATACATTATCTATGTACTTTAAACATATCATAATTTCGGATAAAGTTAAGTGGAATAGTTCAAGTTGGTACTTTTCTTTGGTTGTCTAAGATAGAGAGCGAAAAACTTTAATGTAGAACTAACTTTCAAATATCATTATTATAGATGATAAGCTAAAGATTTTTTTTCGTTATTAATTATAGCATTTATGGAAAAATTAGTATGAAATATTAGTATGAAATATATTAGTATAAAGTCCTTATAAAACTTTTCAGTTCATCTGAAAGGTTTTTTTAGTAAAGATTTTTATGAAAAACTGTCCCTTTAATATCCTATATATTAGAACATTTCGAAAACAATATATGCTAATTTCGTGCTTTGAATAAAAAACAGTATTATCATTATATTCTATAGTATATTAATATTATATTTTTTATTACTTATTTATATATAGTTATTATTTATAATTTATTATTTATATTATAAATAAATAATAATTTAGTTATATACCATTATCACTATTTATAATATAATTCTCTTTAATAACCAAAACACATTAATTTAAATATTTATATATATTATCATCTTCAAGCAATACCACCTCTCCATTCATTTGAAGACTACGATAGCTGTTTAGCTCTTCCATCCCCAAACAATACATACTGTGTTGTTTTTGCAGAAATAATACCAAATGCAACATCCACATTATGGAAAAATATTACACAGCTATCATCTGATTTTAGATATAATTACAGACATGATCATTTATTTTTTGGAGTTTGTTTAAATACTTGCATAAACATTGTGAAATCCTTAAACACTGACATTGAAAAATATATTACTGGTGAAATTAAAGATAATGAGGTGAGTTTACTCGTTTCTAAACAAAATAAATTGGTGAAAATAATAACGAATTTTATAATTAAGCTTGCGTCATATTATGATACTGTACATAAAAATAATGCTGAATTAAAGGCAAACTACAAGAATGTGACAAATATTTGCCTTAATTATAAATTTATGGAAAAATATAACCTAAAACTTCGCACCTATATTGAATATTGTCAGAGTGGAAACTCAACTCCATTTAGTGATAATGGTAAGTTTTGAAAATGTTGAATATATAATAATACATGTAATAATAATATTATACATATATATAACATTATTAATATTATAATTATTATAGTATTATAATAATAATTTATTATATATATATATATATATATTATAATTTATTAAATCACAACAACAAGATTATATTATTTTTAATTAATTGAATTTTTGCTCTGCCATAATTGAAGCTCAGAGTCAGCCTTTATTAGTCGACTGACCCAAAGCCGTACTTGACTTGTATGTTCAAACTTGGAGTTTTATTAATTTACTGTGAAAGTTCTCATTAACAACCTTACTTGCTGTGGTTTATTAGAACAAAATCATAAACCAACTATGGATTAATTAAATATAGTTATTTTTAATTGTAAATTTAGAGGCATTCAATATATGTAATTTTAATATAAAGGCATATTTAAAGCAATGAAAAAATTTTGAATTCTATTTATAAATTCATTTTATTACTTATATAAATATATATATATTATTTACTAAGATCCATAAAATATTTTACTTGAACTAGAATACTTAATTTTTCGCTTATAATAAAATAACTCATACATATATTTGGTGATATAAAAAGTATCAGTCATTTTTTGTCACATAAAAAGTCTATGAAATTTTGCAACTGATAGAACAAGACCAATACGTAAGCTAACAAAAGATACCCGAGGCACTAAACATCTACCACTTAACAGTTTATATTTGGTTAGGTTGGAGTTTCGGACTTATATACCAAGAAAGTCCATTTGAGCACAAATAATGTCCCGTTGTAATACCACAAAAATAGCGTTGGTTTGTACATAGACTAGAAGGCCAGTACCAACCTGACAATTCTATGCATCTAGCTAAGTCCCCAATATTTTAGGATGACAGCTCAGGCAAATCTGTAAGAAATCGATAAATATTTGTTGCAAAATGAATCCGAAAACTGTGGATAGCTTTTATATCACCCACTATATCTCTCTCATACCGTTCACAACCTGTACAAATACTTAAATACTTAATGATATTAATGCAATTTATAAAAAAATTTTTTATATAGATACATTGGATATAATAGCTTATTACATTTTTGGTGTTATTTTGGTTCTTAATATTGCATCAAGTATATATGATTATGCTCTCAAAAAAAAGAAATCTCAAACTGCTTGCACTAAAAATTTCTATAAAGAAGATTTAAATACAAATGGTAATAATAGCATTAACATATATATTTTAATCTTGATATATTTTACTAATAGATCAATCCTATTTTTTAGTTGAAAAGATTTTGACGTCTTTTTCGTTTTTACGTAACTACCATCGTTTGACGAGGCGCCCCAATCCAAATGATTTAATTAAAAACTTAGAAGGCTTTAATGTAATTCGAATTATTGGAGTGTATTTAGTGATATCTGCTCATGTTTACTTACTTGTACTGACATCCCACATGCAAAATTCGGAATTTATTGAGACAATGTTAAAACATGCCGAAGCAATAATCATACAAAATGGAACTGCTTTCATACAAATATTCTTCATAATCAGCGGATTTTTGTTGAATTTCACTTTTAACCAAAAGCAAATGGTAACCCCGTCTACCGATATTAAGCAAGGAATTGTGATTTATTTTAAGATATTCATACTCCGCTATATAAGGTGAGTTTCTCAATAGATATTAACAATCTTATATAAATTCTTTTGCATTTGTTTTTAAAAATAACAGCCAAAGTATATAAAGTATATAGATACTGACGCAGATAATGTCTTCAAGGTGTTGACTATTGCTTTATTCATTTGCGGATGATGTGGGAATTGCTAATTTAACCATACAAATAACAAATAGGTGTTGTACTCTTTTATTTAATAAACAATCAAACACACTTGTTACTCCTTTGTAGACTAAAAGCTCTTCTCTAAATTTAGTTCTGGACTTTGTTAACAAAGCTTTAAGGGACTTTGGGTAGGCTTTGTATAGTTAATAATAAATAATAATACTCCTGTGGATACATAATCCTCTTTAACAATTCGTAACGATCATCATGTTTTGTTTCTTGTAAAACAAATAAGAACCTAAAACTTTGATCCACCATGCTGTATTAGAATCTGTACAGTATTATCAAAAATATAATTATTGAATGCCATGATTTTGTAATCTAAACGGATTAGTTAGATAGAAAATGAAGTCTAATTAACATCCTTATTAATCCTAAAGTTACAATCCACCAAGCTGTATTAGAACCTTTGCAGTATTATCAAAAATATAATTATTGAATGCCACGATTTTGTTATCTAAATGGATTAGTAAGATAGAAAATTAAGTCTAATTAACATAACTTGTTTTTTAAATGCCAGTTCTAATATATAAACACTCCAGATTTCTGTCTAAGAAGTCCCATAGACTGAATTTCATTCATTTATCTCATAAACTTACCTAAATTTTAGAACTAATGAGTAAGGTGAACATCCTAAACATAGATCTTCTAAAAATAGACTTCTCTATCAAGATCGCAAGCTGGTTTTACAACTTTAAATTTTATGACCGTATGTGTGAAAGTCTAGTGAACATCTCAAACATTGATCTTCCGAAAATAATTTATCTTATCAACCACACAAGTTTATTTTAATTTTAGATTTTCATAACTGCTACTGCATAAGCACTACTAGGACAGAAAAAAATGCTCTGACGCCACTAAAATTACCGAAAACCAAATGTCTCAACCCTAAGAGCCTAGTTTGTCTTGAGTGAGACAGACATACGTTATATCCCTGGATCAGTGTATCTCACATTGTTGAGTAAGAATATCTGTGTCTTGAACACTGAGAGCCTAGTTTGTCTTGAGTGAGACAGACATACGTTATATGCCTAGATCAGTGTATCTCACATTGTTGAGTAAAAATATCTGTGTCTCAAATACTATGAGCCTAGTTTGTCTTAAAAAAGACAGACATACGTTATATCACTGGAGAAGAAGTAAGAATATATATACTTTCCAGGGTTTTCAAAATTTAATATATTCATTCTACTTAACGTATTTTCGTATTTATGCAATAGATTCATTCTATTCGTTTTTATTCTGATTGTAAAGTATAACTATTTTAGTTTAAACGGCAAGACCATCTTAAAATCTATAGTGTTTTCTTCATGGTCTTAGAATTTATTGTTCCGCCCTACTTCAGTAATGGTTAAAACAAGCTTATATTAGAAATCTATATCTCTAACATTTCTTAAGATGTTGATATCAGGTAATGTTGTGTTATATTGAGGATTTTTAAAGCGTAAGATTTACTGGGATTAATGATTCAAATTTTTCTATTATTGTTATATTTAGATATAGCATATTCGAGTATACATACAAGAATTTCTAGAGCTAGTTTTCAAAAGTTATTTTGTCTGGTTAAAACTTACACATATATATGTATAGTTCATTTTACTAAGTATGCATATGAGAAATTAAAAAAGACGGCTGCTTTTGGTAATACAAACAGTGTACAAAGTATTCGGAATTTTAAAAAGGCATATAAAAAATACTGCGTTGTTTTTAAGTTCTTCACAAAAAAACTCAAGAAATGTGATGGACCAAGCACCGTACTCAACTGATTTGGCTTCCTATATATGGCTTTGAAAAAGTCGTCTAAAGTTGATTGTGGGCAAACAAAAATTAAAAAGTATTTGATACCATATCTTAATCAATCTTCGAAAAATATGTCAAAAATTGGATCAAACGCTGACATAATTGTTTTGCAGCCGATGGAGCTTACTAAGAAAGGAAAAAAATCTATTTTGACTGAAAATTTTGAATTTCTGAAACTTTGTACTCTGAATATTTATCTATTTATAGATCAAATTTAATGAAGTCCACAGGCTTCATATATTTTATAAAGTGGATAACAGATCTTCATTTATATTAAAATTTATTGAGACTGTTCAAAATAAATTATTTATTAAAATGTGTAGTTTATACAATTTCTAATCTCTTACACTTTATTATTAACTCTTTCTCAAATTGCAGATTTCTCCCATCTCTGCTTTTATATATACTTTTCACTGGTACAATACTAAATAAATTACAAGATGGACCTCTTTGGTTGCATATAGCACAGCCAGACCGTACCTTTTGTCGAGAGTATTGGTGGAAGAACATACTTTTTATTAATAATTTCTTTATGAAATATAGTGTAAGATAAATTTATTATTTGAAATTATTTCTAAATTTTTGTTTTTAGTGTTCACATCAGACTTGGTATCTTGCAGCCGATATGCAACTGTTTGAATTATTTCTAATAATCACAATAATTACAGCAAAGTAAGTTCAAAGAAAATAACCTACAATTTCTTAAACTACAGTATTCCTCTTTTAACTTTATCTCTAGATATCCAAATTTGAAGAAGTACATATACTTTGTGTTAATTCTATGTGCTTTTTTGATACCAAGTTTATTAACATACTACTTAAACCTTGAACCAATTTATCACATGTATCCAGAGTAAGTATATAATATATAAACCCTTGATGTATTATTAGGAATAGATTTATAACTGCCTAGTAATGTTACTCGTCATATTAGATGTGATAATTGTATGAGAAGTTAATATAAAAACTGATCAAATTTAATAGAAAAAAGTGAGTTTTTATATAAACGGTGACCTATTTTTAGTTAAGTGTAAATTTTTATATCTTTATATCTTTTTTGCTGGGATTTAAAATAGATTCCAAATCAATGTGTTTAGAGTTGACAACCCTGTTTCCTTATCGTGCGCCTTTATGAATAGTCATGAGACTTTTCTTCTATTTTTCACATATCGTGCTATTACTGATAGTATTGTTAACTCCGTAGAATAGTTTTTGACCTATGCAGAGACTACTTACACCTCATTTGTCTACCCTTTCATTACTTTCATATCTTCATATCAGTGACGACGCGTGCCCTATCTGGAAGGGTGTGCGGCTCTTCTTTAATGTTTTTTTTACATGTACCACTTAAATTAAAATATATGAGATGTTTTATTAATAATAACTATATTATATAAGGCAACAATATATTCGCGCAATATTATATTAACAATTCATTAACAAAATAACATATTAAACAAATTAAATTAATAATTTATATACAAGTTTAATATTATATCAATATGGAAGAAACAAAACTTTTCACATAATTCTCGTAACATCAAACCAAATTTTTTCAAACAAAAGAGTTTGTACTTAGAAACATACATGTTTGTGCAGTGATCAAACAAAATCGAAACCACTTGCAACGTATAAATGTGCGCACAAGTACCCCGCACAATAAGAACAGAAATTCGTGGGTGCTGCTGTTAAAAGGGGAGAGACGAAATGTGATAGAAATGTATGCTGAGATGAGCTGCAAACTTCAACCGCTCATGCAACCACTTTGGCAAATCATCATGTTGGATTCGTATGCATGCAGTTGATATTCGAATAGAACAGAAAATTACTCTCATACAATTCCCACATATAAATCTCTATTTCTGATATTACGAACGGGAGAACACGCACATTATTTTGTTCATATGCAACGTATAAATGTGCGACCACCTTCTTTGAACACAAAGGGGAGAGACGAAATAAAATAGAAATGTTCTGTGAATTGAGCTGCAAATATATGAGCACAACTAACAAGTATAGCAGGTAACAGAAGCAAATTGATTGAGTTTTCATAGACAATTATATTTAATTGTTTTTGCTAAAACTTTAAAAATGTGTATATATGGAAATGTAATAAATAATAATAATTCTTGATGTGAAGATACTTAATAAATTCCTATACCTATGTTATTTGACATTTTGCAAAT